GAGATCCCACCCGATTTGGATGAGATCTCACTGAAATCGCATGAGATCTTGCACACTTGCACGATCTCACGTAATTCAGGAAACTGTTTCAGCCGATAGCAGAGCTGTTTAACTGCCAGCTGCCTCAGTTTGCCTAATGGCAGAGCCGGCACTGGCTAGATCGCTATCCTATGGGTAACTTGGACCTGCTACACAAATGGTCCTGCCATAACACACATTTTTAAAAACTCCTTTGAGATCAGTGCTAGAGTCTTCCCTGAATTTTACCTAAATAAGAACTAAGAGGCTAACGTTTTTTGAGAGGGGACTGTGGTCAGGTAAACAAACTGGAGAATGTTGGAACAATTTTGCCGCGTTGCCTTTAAAATTTGCCCAGTCCAAATCTGTAGATCTAACAATGAACACACAAACAAACAAATTATAAAATACAATGGACGAAACCTAGACTAAGCTTTGAAATCAATGGGACAAGTCTGTGGAAGAATGGAAGCCCTTTTTGGACTACTTAAGGAAATATTGCACTATGATGAACTCGTGAGCAGGATTTGAATTATGGGCAACAGAAGGAATTAAAGAATACAATATTGATGTTATGGTATAGGGAAAAGAAAGTACGGGGTGGGATAAAAACACCATGGAAAATGGGGTGGGAAGTCAAAAGAAGATAAATCTATTATGTATTGAAGTATATATGTAAATTTTTTGAAAACAATAAAATTTATTATTAAAAAATGTTTAGGAATGTAAGAAAACATCAATATTTGTTTGACTCATGTCTGTCAACTACAGCAATGTTTTCATTCCACTGCAGTTCAAATTCTGATGTTATTCATCTTACTGAATGTAACTGTCCACTGTGATGGAGTTTCACATAATTACATAATTATATCCACACCATTCATTTTGATGCAAAGAACATAAAAAACCATAAGTTGAGCCTTCTAGATTGGGCCAATGACCTATCTAATCCATCAAAGAGTTATCTCAGTTGCCAACCAGATGCCTGTGAGAAGCATGAGTGGAATACTGTGTCCAGTTCTGGGTGACACAATTTTAAGGATATTGACAAGCTGGAATATGTGCAGAGGAGGGCAACCAAGATGATAAAGAGTCTGGAAGCCAAGCCTGATGAGGAACGGTTGAAAGAGCTGGGCATGTTCAGCCTGGAAAAGAGGACACTGAGAGGAGATACGTCAGCCATCTACAAATATCTCAAGGGCCGTCACATGGAAGATGGAGCAAGCTTGTTTTCTCCCGCTCTGGAGGGAAGGACTCAAACCAATGGCTTTAAGTTGCAAGATTCCGACTAAACATCAGGAAGAACTTTTTGACTGAAAGAGCTGTTTGACAGTGGAACAGTCTCCCTTGGAGGTTGTGGACTCTCCTTCTGTGGAGGTTTTTAAGAAGAGGTTGGATGGCCATCTGTCTAGGATGCTTTAGCTGAGATTCCTGCATTGCAGGGAGTTGGACTAAAGGACCCTTGAGGTTCTTTCCAGATCTACAATTCTATGAGTTAATGCTGCTCTTGCAGATACACCTGGTTTCCAAAGTGGCAGTGCTACTTAGCTGATGTGCCACCATATTTTTTTTTAAAAAAAGGAGCTCATTTTTTGTTTTCTTTTTTTTTAAGCCTGATTGCACTTGTTCAGTTGCTGAATCCCTTCAGCTATTTCCTCAGCCAGTCACCTGAAGCAATTCAAAGCAGCTTCTTAGCAGCAGCAGCCTAACAGTGCAAAACCTGCTCTCAGTCGACCCGTTAAAAACAATTTGCTCCGTTGTTGATTTTTTTAAGTCACCATGGACAGAAAACAGATTGAATCAGCCACAACTCCTGGATGAAAACAGGATAATAATCTTGCTAAACTTAGTGGGATATGTAAGGAAAATATTACTGCAACCACACAAGGACGACCATGGATAGAATCAGCCTTTTTGCCAACCTGCAATGGATGTAATGTACTTTTGATAAAGTTTTTCTTTTTTGCGTCCTCTCCCACATGGTCTCAGTGCTGCTTGCAAGGTTAACCTAAGGCCATGTAGAGATGCCATATTTTTCACCCACAATAAAGTGATCGGATGGGAATTGGCACATAGCGGCAGACTGGGGCTGCCATGGCTTTGCCCCCACCTCCCAAATAGCTCAGCAACTTTTGCGTCTGGATTTTCACTTTTTGAAATATGGCAACCCACGACAGACACCCTGTTTTGAAAACCTGCTAGGTGCCATTAATGAGAAACACTTGTCAGATTTGGACAGCCCGTTTTCTTCACGGTGGGCTGCGCCTGCCCCTGTTCCACATGGTCAATCGTTAATTGCTTTGCCCTCTTAGGAAATTCAACTACCGCTCTTTTGTAGTGTGAGAGATGTCATGTGCTTCACCCGCCCCCCCCCAAAAAAAGAGATCTGGCATGCTAAGCTTCTCTATGGCCAAGATGGGACAAAGAAATGCCCTGTTAAAACCCACCATGGGGAAAAGGAATTCAGGTAACTGAAAGGAAATGGATGGCATTTCTAAGCATGATCATTTAAAATGGAGGTTTCCCATGTGACCATAAATTCAGCAAACACACCACTTGCACCTTCATATCACTTGTGAAAGACAGCACCAGTACATATATAGAATCGGCCGAGTCCGAGTTGTTGTCATGATGGTAATGGTAGCATATTGCCAACCTAAATTTCCAGAATTCCTGACATGATCAATCCTCACCAAATGGTATCAGCATTCCCCCCCCCTCTTGCAATTATTGTGGTCTGTGGGAGAAGTTTTCCAATGAGCACTGGTGGAAGAGGCATCACATTCACAAATGGTTCACCTGCCGTGAGTCCTGCAAAAGAGGTTGCTTGCCAACAGTGATGCTCAGGTGACCTCATGATCTAGGCTTGCTTCAGACTTTTACAGCATTGACATCGTCAGAGGAGCTGGCATGGGCCTGCCATATTCCTGCATGGCAGGGGTTTGAACTATATGATCCACAGGGTCCCTTCCAACTCTACAATTCTACAATCCTATGGTTCTATGTCCTTGACCCATTTACAGAAATAAGGGATGGACCACAGCTCAGTGGCAGAGCACATGTTCTTCCTGCAGAGGTTGAAAATCCTGGCCATTTCCAGTTAAAGGTAGCAGGAGAGATTCTGGAGAGCAGCTGCCGGTCAGAGTTGTCAGTACTGAGTTAGATAGCCCTAGTAATAAGGAAGCATTCTATGTTCCTAAAGGTGTTCCATGTAAAGGCCTGTTATGTAGAATGACTTGATTCACATGACTTATCCCGTTAAAAAGTGTGGGGAGGAAGTGCATACAGCCACAATGCGCAGGGGGTTCTGTAAAAAAAAGATGCTCACTCTGCATGTTACATGATGTATGCAGTGCAAGAGCATCTGCCCTCATCACACCAATTGCCCCACCAGTCCATCAGGCGTCTGAAGCGAGCCTTACTCCTCTGCAAGACAGTAAATGAGTACCGTTCTCTTCCTACCAATGGTCCTGCGAATGTGCCCCATAACATACATAGGTAGTAAAAGGGGGGGAACATATCAATGATCTTTCCACTGATTTCAAAGTGCTTGGCAGATATGGACAAACTGAGCCCCACGTAGTCCTCTGTGGCGAGGTATAATTAGCCCCATTTTACAGATGGGGAAACAGAAGCATGAGGGGCCCCTGGATATATCAAGCTGGCTATTTCACGGGTGATGCGAAATTTCAGTGCCACTGAAACAGAGTGCCAATTTTTTGCTGATCTCTGATGGATTAGGATACATTCTTTGCTGTGTGCCGGGTTTTGTAATATTAGGAGGAGCAGAAAAGTAGGAGGACTTCTACTTCAGTTTGTCAAGGGTACCAAGCCGTGTCTCACTGGAGTTATCTCTCCTAAATATTGGTAATAGATTGTTCAGTCTTCCAAAATATTGCACTGCACTCCTTTTGCACGATATATGCTTGCCCTGGACACTGATCATAAATGATGGAGATTCTGGCTGCATTGAAATCACATTTAAACCAATGGAACGTAAGATCACTCTTACGTGTTCCAATACCATAGAGCTCAATGGGATTCAGAGCTGGCCCGCACTCCGTGGAGGAATATCTGGCCGCTGTATTGTGGTTTTCCCTACAAGGATTGTGAAGGGGAGAAGCATAACTCTGAAACACAGATCATGCTTCTCAGGGCATGTCCATGGGGTGTCCGTCCTAGTGGTGTAGACTCACATTTCCCTTTGGCATGTGACCTGTTCCCTACAGAGCCAGTACTGGCATAAATGCAGCAAACATGTCTGCTATCATAATGAAATATGACGGGGCTGCATTCACATGACAGTTTATCTCATTTTCACGTTTGCCTAACTGTTCATTTCTGCATGATAGGCATCTCTCCGTTTTCACACGTTCAAGGCATGCCCGACTGTGCAGGTGCGCATCACCACAAACCCAGAAGTGGCACAAAAAGGAGCAAAAACAACCCTCAAAGAAGATCCAGCAATCCTACGTGCCTTTGCAAGTGCAATTCCATGGCAACAGCCTTTGGAGAGCATACACTCCCACATTTCTCCAATGAAAATAGGGACGTCCCATTCCCTAATTTATACCCTACACATCTTACTGGGTTACCCCAGCCACTCCGGGCAGCTTCCAACATATATAGGTAAAAGGTAAAGGGGCCCCTGACCATTAGGTCCAGTCGCGGATGACTCTGGGGTTGCGGCGCTCATCTCGCTTTATTGGCCGAGGGAGCCGGCGTACAGCTTCCGGGTCATGTGGCATGACTAAGCTGCTTCTGGCGAACCAGAGCAGCGCACGGAAACGCCGTTTACCTTCCCGCCAGAGTGGTACCTATTTATCTACTTGCACTTTGACGTGCTTTCAAACTGCTAGGTGGGCAGGAGCTGGGACTGAGCAACAGGAGCTCACCCCGTTGTGGGGATTCGAACCGCCGATCTTCTGATCAGCAAGTCCTAGGCTCTGTGGTTTAACCCACAGCGCCACCTGTATCCTCTAACATATATAAAAATATAATTAAACATTCAACATCTTTTTAAAAGCCTTCCCTATACAGGGCTGCCTTCAGACGGCTCGGAGGTTGGATAACACTATCCCCTCTCATATTTATCCAATGAAAATAGGGACATGCTAAGGAAAAGTGGGACATTCTGGGATCAAATCAGAAACCGGGATAGCTTCTCTAGATTAGGGACATCCTTGGAAAATAGGGACACTTGGAGGGTTTGGGAGAATTGGGAGTTTGAGCAAGGATGTTTGGAGGGAGTGATTGTGGTGCTTGAAGGCTTTTTCAATGGTTTCCCAAACATGTGGGATTTCACTCAGAACGTAAAAGGAGAGTTGCCTGTATACTTGAGCTTTCGCACAGTGCAAATCCACCTCTGAAACTGTAGTGGAACATAATGGGATTGTAGTGAAGCATAGCACAATTTAGCACTCATTTCCATATTATATACTACCTGGGAGCAAATAATATGGAAATGAGCATTAACCTTGCACTATAATTTCGTAATAGTTCCAGAAGTAGTTTTCACATTGCGTGAAAGCTCAAATACAATGCAGAGCTTAACAGTTAGGGGAAAGTTCTGAAAATGGAATAAAGTAATTTATATGTGACAACTGCAGCCAGAGTGTTATATGCACAAAAATGGAAAGAAGAGGCATTTCCAACGAAGGAGGAATGGCTTTAAAAAGTAATGGACTATATGAGGTAACGGCAAAGCTGACAGCAATATTAAGAGATCAAAATGATGGATTTTTTTAAATAGGAGAATGGAGGTCTTTGGGGGATCATTTGGAAAAAACAATACTGCAAATGAACTCGCAGGCAGGATTTGAGATTGGAGCAGCGGAATAAAAATGATGAAGTAATTGTATTAGAGGGATTTCTGTAGTAGATAAGGGTTTGATAGATAATGGAGGGGGGGAAAGGTTTGGATAAATATATTTTGGAGGTGTGGGTGAGAAGTCCATACGTGAACAATGTCAATATTTAATTTGAAGTCAATTTGCAAAAAAAAATTGGAAATTTAATTAAAATATATATTAATTTTTTAAAAAAGAAAATGGAATAAAGTGCCACGTGAATGCAGCCTTGGTCACTTAAAAATCCTGTTTAAATTAATGGAATTTAAGGAGTCAGAAACCCATCAAGTTTAGTGAGATGGATGCTCTCAAAATGATAGGAAGGCTGCCACAACCCAGAGTGCTAGGGCACATGTAATTCTCATTGAAAAGTGTGCCTACACTCTATGATTTCATATATACATATATAGGACTCCTTCGGAAGTTGCTGGGATCTCCTTCATTTGAGGTTTTTAAACAAAGGTTGGGGAAACATCCATCAGGCATTCTTTAGCTCTGATTCCTGTATTGCACGGGGTTGGACTAAAAGACCCTCAGGGTTAAAGGATATAGCAAAGGAAATTTGGATGAACAGAATGAATTACAGTGATGCCGGCAAACTGGAAAACCGACGTACAGAAAGACAGGATGGGAGGGTGGAATATTCCACAGACATACAGACACACATATATATATTGAAAAGGGCATTGCTCTGTAACCTAGTGTTTGGTTTTGCTCTGCTTACAAAAATGTAGCATGTGCCACTGTTAGGATATCTTTTTGTGCCCAGAGTTGACCCGGCCCTCGGTATACCGAAGAACATCCATTTTTGCTATGGGTTGTTTTTGTTTTGTTTTTGTTATTTAAAATCACAGAAGAAATTATCTGTACCATTTATAGTGAAAAGTCATGCACAACCATTGCTCAAAACTAAACCGCTTAGTTTTGGCAGCATGAAGAAAACCGCATTAAGCCGACCGTATGAAATGGTGCAGGATGACTACCACTAATACCAGCATGCATTGCAGCCATTGGTGAAATGTGTGTGTGTGTGTGTGTGTGTGTGTGTTGGTTTATGAGCTAGGAAGCTTTGGGTGTGTATAGTGAGATATACAAAGTTTATGTTTACATCATGAGAAGAAGCCAGCCAGTGACTCCAACCCCACCCCCAACCCACCCCCACTGGATAAATTTTAAACTGGCTTGCTCGGAGTCCATACTGAATCGGAGAAGCCCTCCCCTGTCGAAGAAAGAGGCATGGAACCACTTGGGGTAAAAGGGTCAGTATCCGTGTCCGTTTCACCCTCGGCCAAGTAGCGCTTCTCCTTCATCCAGCTTGAGCCCCCGTTCGACCCGAAAAGGAAGTCGTCCTTGTCTTGGGAGATGCTGAACCCGCTAGGCGATCGTTCGAGTTCCTCGTGGTTGACAGAGAGGAGGGATAAGGGAGTGTCGCTGTCTCTCGCCAGGCTATGTTTCTGCCTGGAAGAGATTCTGTCTGAGTGGGGGCTCTGGGGGTCTCCTGGTGGGGAACGGTAGGAAACATGGGGGTCGATGAAGGTGAGTATAGGCAAAACCGTCGGCCTTTCAGCGTACGAAGTTGAGAAGGGCATGGCCTGCCACCTACCGGAGTTCTGACCGCCCAACGGCAACGAGAGCGGGCCAACGTCGCAGCCCTGCGTCGAGAAGCCGAAAGGGGGGACTTTGTTCACCGGTACATGGTGGAAACTCGGAGGCATTTCATGAATAGAAGGCTCAGAATATTTGTAAATGATGGACTTCAGTTCAGAATATCTGTTATCCTCTGCTGCGGACACAGTTTCTTTTGAAGGGCACACTTGGACTTGGAGATGCTCCATATGCTGCATGTGCATATCGACCAAAAAATCCAATTTCTTCCCCATGTCGTGGACCTGAAAGAGAAGAGCCCATCAGACTGGAGGACAATGAGCAATTGGCCGTCCAATCACATGCGGCAAGGAACCATTGTTCTTTCTAGCTCATCATGGTCTCCACCAAGGACCATGGAAACCTGTGACCCTGCAGATTTTGTTGGAACTCCAATTCCCAGCAGCCTCAGTCAGCATGGCCAACAGTCAGGGGTGATGGGAGTTGTAGTCCAGCAACTTCTAGACCAGGGGTGGGGAACCATTGGCCACCCAGATCTTGCTCAACTACAACTCTCATCAGTGCCAGCAAGCATGGCCAATGACCAGTTGTAATTCAGCTCCTCACACTTGATCTACAGGGCCAGACTAGCCATAGTCTACACTGACTTGAAGCCACTCTCTATGGTTTGGAACAGGACGATTTCACAGGATCAGCTAAAACATGTGCTCCACCACAGAAGATAAGCCCTTTCCCCCAGAGTTTTCATGTTAGGCTGTGATGGAGAGAGGAGCTTTCACCTACGTTTCTACATCTTCTCTTGGAGCAAGTTTGTACCAAGAGCTTGTTTACATGTCCCCTTATCAATAGCTCGCTTTAGCCATTTGGAATCTGTAAGCATGTTCAATCAGGAGGGTGGTATTTCATGTATGGCAGAGGGAAGCAATTTTTGCTTTCGAGTGCTGGACCAACAGTGCATCTAGAAAGCAGCGCGTCACTGGGGCCAGATGCAAACTCAACACGAACTTCAAGGAAGTCTGGAGTCTCCACCTAAGCCTTTCCACATCTTCTGCAGCCAACTGTAGCAAAAAAGATGGTCACCAGTACAATATATATATACAAAATCTCATCATTATAGCCATGTTACACATATATATATTGCTATAGGCATGTTATATGTTATAAGTGGATGTTATAGGGAAGACTTGGGAAGAGCTGAGAATTCCTTACCTGTCTTTCAACTCTGACAAATTTGCCCATCATACTTTGGTCTTCAGGATCTACTGTCGATGCTTTGGCTACATACGGATCATTCCTAAAAGCAAAGAAGGCTCTAGTTTAGGCAAAACGTTTGCTGTTGTTTTCACTCATATTTCCACTTCTTCTGGGCCCAAGGAATTAAGTGCCTCCCACACTACCTCACCAGTCTTATGTGGCATGGTGGAAGGCCATTGGATGAAGGAGAAGTGGCCTTCTCCAGGCCAGGGGATTGGCCCTTTAAGCACCTGAGGTTCTCCAACAAAGGAGGCAGAACATAGGAGAGAAGGACTGGAGTCAAAAGGCTCCAAGACCCCATCAGAGCATGCTGCTCAGCAGGAGCTGTCCATGGTGCTATGACAACTGATCTGCTTGACAGTGCATTCTGTAGGTGCTTCCTTGGCCCCAGAGCAAGAGCAGCACAGAAACCTGAATGAGTTGCATGTGGTTTTTGGACTGAGCGGTGCTGAGGCTGCTGAGATGTTGTGTGCATCCCTCATGCCCAACTAATGCTTACCATGTCCTCCTTTGAAGAAGCACAGAATGGCCAACTCAATGATTCCCAAATAGTGTGGCAGGAGGCACTATGATAGAATGATGAAGGTGCTACAAGATGTTATATAATGAAGTGCTCCTGTAAACCAAAAGGCTGATCAATGCACCTCTGTACGACTTACTGTTCTAGCTTTGCCTATCCCCTTTCAATCAGCCTCTGTTAATAGTTCGTAAGTCTGTTGTGTCTTTCTAAGGATGTGCAAACATTCTTTCACTTCCGCCTTCCAGAGGAGGTGGGGTTGCCGGCTTCACGCTCCCAGCCCCCGCGTGATTGGGGGAATCCCCAGCCACATCACCCCCTGGCCAGCCAATCGGCTGGCTCTGGGGGCATGGCCTGACCTATTTAATGGGGGCGCGGCCGGGGATCTCCCTCTTTTGCCGCCTCCAGCTCCAGAAATGGTCAGGTTTTGCAAGGGTTCACTTAAGAGTTTTGGTGGTTGTGGTTTTTGTAAAATCTACAGCAGGGATGGATGGACAACACTGGCTCTCTAGGTGTTGTTGGACAGTCGTCTATTCTCAACAAGCTGTGCACAAGAGGAATTTCACCTTGGAGACTGCTGCAAAGGGTAAGGGAAGGCTCCTCCTTTCTGGGATTTCTTATGCTTGGGAGTGGACGGAGGTCCAGGTGCAAAAATCATATCTATTCTGAAAGAAGACAATAAGAGGACATAATGAAACAGGTGTGATTCGTTAATTGTTGGCCCGCGGCCCCAGTTACATTCTAGGATCAAAAGGTGTGCTATAAATCTTCCAAATACATCAATAGCTTTAGCTCCCATTTGGTTATGGGGTTTTTTTTGAGGGGGGTGTGGCGATCACACAGGGTCCCCAGAGCTTTAACGGTCTATTGATCCCTATACCACCACTGTGCTTGCTTCCCCGCTGCCACCAACCAGTTACTCTCTGGTAAAACACTGTGTCCAGACAGTTGTTAAAAGTGAACAAAAAAAACCCCAACAAGTTTATTTTACAGACATTAACAAGCTTATGGTTTCTCCGATAATATTCCTGTCAGTATCTCAACTTTAGTTTCTTTACTGCATGGTGACATGATGTATGTGGGAATTTATGTGCATATACCTCTGCTTTCCTCCCTTGCCAGACAGAGGACATGTGAGTTTAAGCACGTTCCAAAATGTGGGCAGGGTTTCTGTACAAAGTGGTAACTTCTGAATATCTCCTACAGCCGTCACTAGTGCATGGGTTGGCAACCCCAAAGAGTCTTCTAATCCATACTGTGAAATTCTGGGCCAGTCCTTGCCAGCTGAACATCTTTACACCTTTAGCACACTGCTGGCAGCAGAGCCACTTACCTCGCTTGAAGGTATTTGATCCTGGTAAGCATGTCAAGGTGTCCTGCTGAATATTGCTCTATCACATCCTTTACATCATAAGGCCTCAAGGTCTCCTTGAATCGCTTCTTATAGAGGCGGAACTGTAGTATTCTGGTACAAGGAGAGAATGTTTATCGTTGGGGTTTCCCTTGGCTAATTCCCACCATTCTCATAGAGGAAGGGATTGCATATGTATCTGTGTTTAAATATCAGCCTTGCTTATTAGCCTGCTGCGCTAACCATAGTTCAGCCTTTGCCACGCTGGCTCACCTCCAGTGCCCATCAGCCCCACCCAACATGACCAATTGGCATACATAGCAGGAGGTATAGCTAATAACATCTGCTCTAACTAGCTACCGGGTTGCTCTAACTAGCTACAATTGGAAATAAAACTGTCAATTTCATAATGCCGTTATTAAAAAATAGTGCTGTTATTCTAAACAAAAAACTAAGGTGAAGCAGCACTTCCCAAAACAACTTGCAAACCGAAACACAGCCACTCACTGAGATTTGCACTTCAATGAATTTTGCAATGCTTTTCGCCAGCTCTAAATGCACCTTGAGATTGGGAAAACGAGAAAAACTAAGTTTTCCCCTAGTTGCAGTCATCTCAAAGGTCGGGTTTACAGGGGCCCATATTTTAAACTGAGGCAAAAAGAGGACAACAAGCACAGACTTTACCTGACAGCTCGGATGACCACTTTCAGCGTGGGGATCATGTCTTCAATGAGGAGTTCATTGCTGTACCCTCTGTCTTCTGCCAGAGGATCCCCAGTTCCAGCATCTAAAAGGTGAGTGAAGAATCCACATGAAGGAAGGGCAGATGCAGAAGAGTTCAGAGCAAAGTGGAGCTGCTCCTACAGTACCAGCTAAATTCTCGTATTATTGGGTTGTATCCATTGAAAATGTCCCAGTAGCACAAGACTTCTGCATGCACAATGGAAAATTCCATTATTCTCTCCCCATGCTCCCCTATCCAAAAAATATGCTTCGGAGGACTGGTGGAACCCCCAGACCAGACCAGATCTGGGGTGCCCACAGGAGGAGAGGAAGATGATATTCCTTTGTACAAGTGGAAGTCTTTGTGCAAACCCATAGTTACCACCCATCAAAACCGTGGCTCCCAAATGTTATACAGGCCAACAATGTAGAAGTCAGAAACTAGTTCTCTTGAAATTAACAGTTCACCATGCATTCTTCTTTAGCTAAAACAAAACAAAACCCTACTCTTTTGACACTTGTTAATTAGCTGTGTTGCCTGAATAAAACCATGCTTAAAGTATTAGTCCCCATTAAGTTGTTGTTGTTGTTGTTGTTGTTGTATTGGATTTATATACCGCCCTGTACCCAGGGGGCTTAGGGCGGTTCACATAATAAAATCAAGATATAAAACCACAAAATACCTAATGAAAATAAAAACAACAACCTGATAGCCCTGAGGACACAACCTAATGTGTGGTTGAGAAGGATTTCTGACACACATTAACATTCTTCGTATTACCTGGCAGTATTTACATGACTTAACCTGGGAGCAAAAGAAAACACCTCAAGGGCCAAACCATATGTGTACCAAATTCACAAGGCAGAATTGATGTTGGCCACTACTACTCCAAAATACAGGGGGGCGGGTTGACCTGAATGTGCACATTACTTCTCATTTCTTTTTCTCTGTCTTCAGGGCAAATATTGAACAGTGTCGTGTACGCCTTTCCTGACACTCTTGAAAATGTGTGTGTGATTTGAGCTATGGATTCCCTGAAAAATGTGAAAGTTCATAAATGAACACACCACCTTTTACTGCAATGTCTTAAGAGTCAAGGAAGGTACTGTTTTGTGAGGTGTGTTTTCTCATAGTTCACCACCACCACACCCCGCCGCCTTTAAAATAGTTGTGTGGGTCGAACTAGTTTTTAAAACCTGAAATGCAGAATCGCGTCCCGAATGTGTGCACCAAATTTCATTCCAAGATCTAAATATTCAACAAAGTGATAATAAGCAAACAAACGGGGATCGTGATCGAACTTTGTTCGGACAACAAGAAGTAGGATTTTGCTGTTTTGAAAATGTCCTCCTAATTTAAAATTCAGAAGGGGGTGTGTGTGTGTGTGTGTGTGAGAGAGAGAGAGAGAGAGAGAGAGAGACTCAACCGAAAATTCAGAGCTTTGCCAGATTATACATTTGTGCAACATTCAATTTCAACTCCAGCCAAAGGGACTCAGAAAATGGAGAGAGTGATCGGTGAAATAGCCCGGGAAAATTAAAACAGAAATCAATGTGAACCTTTTACCTTCGGAGCTTTGCCAGAATGCATAAGCTTTCATTCGGAATGCAGTGCGAAAACGCTCCCTATTATTCAAGGCAACAGTCTTAGGTTCTTTAGAAGGACTTTCTTCAATTGCATCTACATTCAGAGGGGTAAATAGCTTTCCTTTAGTATTGGTACCACGAACCCGATCCAAGAGACCCAGCTTTTGGCTAAAAAAATAAGGAAAAGGGATCATTTTCCCCCTCACTCTCACACAGACCTACATTTCAAGGTGCTTCTAATGCACTTTATCCCAAGCAAACATATGCATGAAGGATACTATTAAGGACCACATGGAAGCCGACTGTACAAACCCACAGATCAATGTTTTCATAGGTCTTCAAATAAAATGCCATCAATGGACCACCCAACATCACACTCACCCTACTGAAGAATTAATCACAGATATTTATTGGCTGAACTTGCACCGCTAGTATTTTCTTTGAACAAATGAATCGTGGTGTGTTTCAGCAAGGATTCCTGCAAACAATGATACTTGATTTGCTAAGCAATCCCACTAGGTTACCCCACCAGGGTTAAATGAATCCACCAGTTGGAAGTTTTCATCTGCCATACATAATGTGATTCCAGTCCACCAACATTAACAAATTCAGTCACTCAGCACCCCCGTGTGGCAGTGGGAAGGCACTTCCAAAGAATGCTGCGGGAAGGACAAAATCCCAGTTTGTCAATCAAAATGCACAAGCAGTGGGGGATGCTGTTGAATGGTGAGCCAACTGTAAATTGCAGTGGAATGTGTAACTTCTGGACAAAGCAGCAATTGTTCTCAAACTCGGGGATTCTGGGATGGAACTGAAAACTGCATGAGCTGAAGCTGACTTAGCTGACTAGTGCAAAAGCCTGGGAGCCCCTTTGGATGCAGAAGAGAGGGAAGAGGGGTGTTTTTCTTTGATGGGTTGGCAGCTTGAAGCTTCTGGATTGACTAGGAGGCCTGGTATAAATACTAGTAGCCTGGCCAACAGAGCAAAATATTCTGTCCATTCTGGAAGGTACTTGAGACATCCCCGGTAATGGACAACATAGGCTGGAAAATGGCCGTCTCAGTTGTAGATAAGGCCAGCCCTGCCATTAGGTCAAGTGAGGAGACAGCCTGAGATGGCAAGTGTTGTGAAGCAGCAGTAGCCCTTGGCTGTCTCTCCCATTCCCCTCTGTGGGGGGACAGAGTTGTGTCCTACAAGCAGTGGCGGAGGAAGCTGCTCGGGCGCCTGAGGCAGCACGCCCAGGGTCAAAGTGAGCTGGACATAGGGGAGAGGGCGGGGTGAGCTGCCCATAGGGGCGGGGCACACTGCAGGACCTCCAGAGTCTGCCTGCCTCCTCCCACTCAGCCGCCCTACAGCTGGGGGGGAGACAGTGGGTGGACCATTTGGGCAGCGTGGAACCTGCGCACGCCCAAGCCACTGCATCTCTCCCAGGAGAGACATGTGGCTCAGGTGTGCTGTAGGCCCTGTGGTGAGTGTCGCACAACATTTTGTCACCCCCATCAGTGGTGACGCCCGAGGTGGCTGGCACCCACCACACACCCTTCCTCTGCCCCTGCCTACAAGGCCCCCTAAACCAGCCTGCTGACTCTGTAGATGACATTCCTCCATCACCGGTACAGTGGTACCTCAGGTTAAGAAGTTAATTCATTCTGGAGGTCCGTTCTTAACCTGAAACTGTTCTTAACTGAGGTACCACTTTAGCTAATGGGGCCTCCCGCTGCTGCCGCTGCACAATTTCTGTTCTCATCCTGAAGCAAAGTTCTTAACCTAAGGTACTATTTCTGGGTTAGCGGAGTCTGTAACCTGAAGTGTCTGTAACCTGAGGTACCACTGTATTCAATGAAGCAGGTCACACCCACATTTAAAGCATTCCTATACCACTTTGTCATGGCTTCCCCCAAAGAATCCTGAGAACTGTAGCTTACCCCTCAATGGAGCTGCAATTCCCAGCACCTTTAGCAGGCTAGTTCCCAGGGTTCTTTGGGGTGAAGCATGACTAAGTGGTATACGACTGCCTCAGGTGCATGGCAAGAATTTGACCCCAGTCCAGTCATTTTGGGGCAGCAAAAGGTCTTGGGCTGGTCCTGGGCCTAGATTTGTATATGTGGTTGGATCCGGGGGGCTTCAATAAGTCCAAATGTGCCGTATTAGGTCTCTGCACACATGCGGCCAATGCTTCCAGTGTGTGTCATTCTCCACAATTGTTTGCAGTGGGGTGTGTTGCAAATTTGTACGGAACATTTGAGTGGCCTAAGTGACATTTCCAGACGGTACTTGCCTTTCCCACATACCCACTGCAAGATCTGGTAATAATCTGCATGGGATTCTAGAAGGCAGCTTGGGAGGTTTACTGAAATTGGTTCAGTGGGATGGTTCAGCTCCAGCAGACCCTGTGGTTCCACCATAAACACACAAGCTATGATTCAGAGCATTCATCCTGTTTTAGGCTCATACAACCACTGTACTGGATTTGGAATTGTTAATTCGGACGTCAAGCCAATAATTTTGGCTCTTGGGGATTATGTGGCCCTCTCTCGCGATCACTGTGCAAATGGATGATGTACATGGAGTCCAAATCGGCCCGTCACATTACGGACTCTAATTCCACCATGTTTTACTGCAAACAAGGTTTTTACAATTGGGCAAATGTGTGATGACACAGGAATCAATCATGGGTCTTAGACATGTTCAAGGCAACTCAGTTCACCGCGGACCAGGTAGGAATTGGAAAAAAGGGAATATGTGCAACAGTCTGCCCCCAAAAGGTAGAAAACATAATGCACGAACAAAATAGGGTTTTGAACAATATAGTTGCTCCATCATGTCAGGAAGCCAATGGAAGAAAATCAGCAATATATGAATGGTGCAGAGCAAATGCAGAGAAGAGACATCGATTCACACAACTCCATTCAAATAAACTGTGTGGATGTGCCAGTTCTGAGGTGTTTCAGTCCTAGATGCCCCAGATCCTAAATAGACAGATAATCAATTGTAGGCACGCATAAAGCATGGTCTGCATTAACAATTTCAGATATTTCAATAATAATGACAACAATACTTGGCAATGATATTGCATTTGGAATATCCCCAGTGCTGGCACCAGGCTGTTTTGTGGCCCAGGCAAAGCTATTTTGCATCCTAGGTAAGGTTAAATACTTGCACCTCCCCCCAAAATATACACTAAATTCAATTTTCAAAAACAGATGTCTTGTAGAAATGATAAAATCCTTCAAAATATAAAATAAAAGTAAAATATTATGAGGAATGTATATTTTTTAAAAGAAACTGTATAAAACTGGGCCCCTCAAAGGTCTGGACTGCACCCCTTTGAGGTCTGTGCCCTAGACGGCTGCCTAGTTGCCATCAAAACCCAACCCCCAGGTCATTTCCGGTAAACTATAGAGCAATCCTGTAAAATGGCACGATATCATTATCCCTAATAATGCTAGTATTATCCCCGGAGAGCAGAGTGTGCACAAAAATGATGCAGGGCAGGGGACAGTGAAATGAAGAGCACAGTGTCACCAGGCCATGGGCATGTTTTGCCACACAATACTAAAGATGAGCTCAATTTTTTAGCATTGACCCTGTGCTCACCGCAATGCCTGTACTGCTCTTAGCCATTATATGAGATCAGGAGTAGCCATCATGGTGCCCGCAGACGTTGTTGGACTCCAACTCCCATCAGCCCTGGCCAACATGGCCAACGGTCAGGGATGATGGGAGCTGTAGTCCTGTGGCATCGAGAGGGCAACACATTGACTACCCCTCCACTAGATCATCTCTTGTACAGCAGCCAGAATCAGACATAATGGCAAACACTCATTTATGATGACATGAATGACCATGTCATGTACAGTAACACCCTTGTCCTTAGTGCACAGGAGGGAAATGGGTTTCCACTTTCATTTTTGAACTTTCTACAGTTCCCTGTTACACATTTACACATGGAACTGTGGTTTGTTTTAACTGTGGTCACTTAACTATGTTCTGACCTCAACCCACATTGGGCTGGGTGTTCCTCCAGCCATATAAGCTTATATCCATGCCACACTTTCATGTAAACCACCCTTGAACTTGAACACAGCTTGAACAGCAAATGTAAATGCAGGTGATAAAAATACTTAGCTGTAGAAGTATTGATGGATGGTTAAATCTGAATGAGATAGAGACTCTATGGATAAGATGAAAAGACAATGCTAGACTAGGACCTCCAGGTCAACTCAAAGAGGAAGAGAATAGAGCCGGAGTCGAGGGAGTCTTATTCTGAGAAGAACTGGCCTAAACAGAATTAGTTATCTTATGTAGGAACAACCAGTCAACGCATGCTAATAGATATTCAGGCTTGTTAAATTGTGAACAGATTAACCCAGAGAAAATGAAAACAGTTGTAAATACAGGGATAATCTTGGTCATTTGATTGTCCTTTTTACCCATTGTTGTCTTTTTAATTGTATATATTGTTTGTTTTATGTTGCTATGGCTGTTGGCTAATGCAAATAAAGTTTATCTATCATCTATCTATCTATCATCTATCTATCCAGGGACCAGGTGAAAATAGAACAAGTAGAATGATGTCCAAATGCAGCAGAACAAGTTATCAAACTATAGTTTGATATCCTCGTTTGTTTCAAAATACGTTTGTTTCAATTAAAACATACCACAGTTTCCAGAGTTTGGACATAACAAGGAACTGTGGTAGATTCAAAGTGAAAGCAGAATCTCATGTGCACAAAGGAGGGTTAGCCGAAGGGTTGTGCAGACTTCCTCTCATAATGACAAGCCATGATCCAGCCTTTACTTAATACAGTTCTTTAGAATAAACATTGCCAGGTCTTCAACGGAAGCTTCTCCACAAAGCATTTGAATATTATTGAATATCTGAAAGTTAATGGGAAGGATAGTGGAGGTCAAACTTTTGCCTCCAGTGTGTAAGCAGAACGGAACTTGAATAAGCCTTTGGAACCGCTCATGCAACAGCTGAATGCAATTCCTTCTCAGCATGCAAACCAGACACCCCCCTATTCATTGTCTGATTCTGCAGTTCATAACCAAATAATTAAATAACAAATGGCAGAGCAAAGCATGCCTCTTCCTCCATTTATCAGCCTTTTTTTTTTTTTTTGCAGGAGGAGGGGGAAAAGACCAATAAAACTGAACAAAAATATAGCAGTTATATTCTTAGATTTTGCAGCCTTAACACTGGAAACACAAGACAACCATGCTTGCTCTGATTTTTACTACATTAGAAAGATGTATGTATCAACATGGCTGAATACAGCTCTACCAAGCTGCGTATTGTTTGGTAGTGATATCAAAAACACGTAAGACTTACACAATGTTCTGGAAGCCCAGGACAACCTCTAAGGCAAGTGTGGGGAACTTGTGGCCCCCTGACGCTTTTTAACCCCAGCTCCCACCAACCTCAGATGGCGTGGCCAATGGTGAAGCATGATGGGAGTTGTAGTCCAACAACGTCTGCATCCCTGACTCCAAAGAAACCATGCCTCAAAGTAAGACAACTCAACATCTGAAGGTCTGTTTGCCTGCTCTGCTGGAAAGGGTGGAAGAGGTGACAATGGAAAACTGAGAGGCAGAAGACAATGGACTGAATTTGGCAGATCTGCAAACATTACCCAGGAAAGAAATCAAGGAGAAGCCCATTCCACTTAAAATTTGCAAATTGGGTTGGCACCCACAAGGCTTTCTCATGAAATGCCTATGTTACATCAGCTTCTGGTGGACTCCAAAAATTACCTCCAGTGTATTAAGACTTGTATCTAAAAGGGAATCCAGGGAGGCTAAGAAAAGAGATGGAGGCAGCAGAGGGAACTAAGGAAAGGGTAAGTAAAGGAACCTAAGAAGCTGAGGTAGCATCAGTCCCTCTAGCTCAGTATTATCTGCATCAAGGATGGAGAACCTATGGCCTTCACAATGCTGTGGGAAGACAATTCTCATCACTCAAGACCCTTAGGCCATTCTGGTTGGGGCTGATGTGTGTTGAAGTCCTAGTAATGTAATCTAAGGTTTAGTAGTGTTGGGCATGTGTGTTGAAGTCCAGCAACGTCTGGAGGGCTGCAGGTTCCCATCCCTGTTCTGTGACAACCAGCAGTAGCTGGTCCAGAATTTCAGACATTGCCTGTCAAGAACAGAACCTGGGGCTTCTGCATGCAAGGCAAGCACTCTACCATTGAGCCACAACCCTTTCTGCTAAGGCCAAGGGCCTTCTGGTGGTTCCCTCACTGTGACAAGCCAAGTTACAGGGAACCAGGTAGAGGGCCTTCTCGGTAGTGGCACCCACCCTGTGGAACGCCCTCCCACCAGATGTCAAAGAGAACAACTACCAGACTTTTAGAAGACATCTGAAGGCAGCCCTGTTTAGGGAAACTTTTAATGATTGATGCGTTACTGTATTTTAATATATTGTTGGAAGCTGCCCAGAGTGGGTGGGGTATAAATAATAAATAAATAATTATTATTATTATTATTATTATTATTATTATTATTATTATTATTATTAATGAGCAGGAGACAGGGAAAAGAGGATACATCGACACTTGTACATTTCAATATCTGCTAAACTAGACTCTAATCTTCCTCAAGTGAGTAAGAGGAAGGATAATTAATAAATCATATATCCTATGCTTCCTTCCAAGCCCCTCCCATCATGGATTCTCCTTCAAAATTTCCCAATTCCTCAATGGCAGTTGATGTTACCCTGTTCTACAACAGAATCCAGTTTTCTTCCAGGTTTGCTCAACCTGAAGTCCTGCCATTATTCTGAAGGTAAGGAAAGAGAGCGTTCTCCTGCAGTTCATAATGCAATCTGGGTTGGGCAGAGAGAGAGAGAGATGAAACCGGCCAGCTCATCACCTCCTTCTCTGCGCTAGAAGTTGCAGGCTGGAGGAGAAGGAGACGAGGGGATTCCTTCTCTCCCAGAGAATCTAATGCCTTCAAGAGCAACACAGGAAGGGAAATCTCTTACTTGTGAGCTGCCCTAGCAGTAGGGAGTGAGGCCAGATTGCCTGTGTGTGTTGTGCTACACCTTGCGTCTCCCGGGGGTGCAATAATCTGGGGGGTGGGAGCACCTTCTGGGCTTCACATCACCCCTTCCCCATTTAATGTTACGGAAAAGGAGCAATGCAGCAGCGAGCTGCAGCTGGCTGGAAAGCAAAACATTATGGAAATGTTTGGGACTGTACCGTGAGAACAAAGGGGCAGTCTATTCACTGTGCTGAGCACCGGATGTTAGCTCAGAGTGTCATTTGACCTGTACAGGAAGTACAGGGGTGGATTTTGTCTCTCTGCTATTGGATTCTGAAGAGAGCAGACGTGTTTCTCTGTAATGCTGCAAAGACAGAAATAAAGGCATGTAAATACATTTCTGTCTATCTCTTTCCCCTCCCTGGGGAAGGCAGGGAGCAGGGAAGAGTGGTGTGTTCTTCTCACGCTTGAGGAGGATCGCCGATAGTGACCTAGCCTGTATCCTGCCGGGAAACGCAGACAGGGAGGTCAACAAGGAGATCAAGCCGGGTGCCTGGAAAGTGGCCAGTTCCTCTGATAAGGCTTGATATCCGACATTAATTAATTAAGAAGCTCAAGGTGGTGTAGATAGTTCTCCTTTCCCCCATTTATCCTCAAAACAACCCTGTAAGGTAGGATAGCCTAAGAGTGAGTGACTGGCTTCATGGATGAGTGGGGATTTGAACCCTGGTCCCCCATGGTTCGGATGCATGGCTCATAGCTACCAGGAGCTGTGTGTCCGGTATTGTTGGCCCAATTTTATGGAACTCCCTTCCACCTGAGATTGGACAAGTTCCCTCCCTGTTGAACTTCTGGCATCTACTGGTTTTTTTTTTTATTATTATTATTCCAGCAAACACTTTTAATTGAAGTCTGGTTTTTCAGTTCTAACTTTTCCTCTTCTGTATTGCATTTCTTGCACACTGGTTAGAGACGGCTGTAGTTCAGCGGTGTGCACAAATTGTTTTTTTTTAAAAAAGAAGCAAAGAAAGATACAGTGGTACCTCAGGTTAAGTACTTAATTCGTTCCGGAGATCCGTTCTTAACTTGAAACTGTTCTTAACCTGAAGCACCACTTTAGCTAATGGGGCCTCCCGCTGCTGCTGCGCCGGCGGAGCACGATTTCTGTTCTCATCCTGAAGCAAAGTTCTTAACCTGAAGCACTATTTCTGGGTTAGCGGAGTCTGTAACCTGAAGTGTATGTAACCCGAGGTACCACTGTACTGTGACAAAAGTAACACTCCATTGCTCCGCCCACTTTCTGCCCATGGCCCCGCCCACCACAGCATGTGGCCCTCAGGCGGTTGTCCAAAATGAAATGTGGCCCCCAAGCTGTAAAAAAAAACCTTCCTCATCCCTACTTTATAATATATATTAGACACTTATGCTGAAAATTGAATTTGCATGTTCCATGCTAGACAACGCCCTCCCACGTCCATCCCTTCTCCACTTTTGGGTCTGATAAACTACTGTAGTAAAAATGGCTATTCAAAAATTAAAATAAAGGAGGAGATAGATATCGCAGGCAAGAACGGCATGCAGTATATAAAAAAGATTTGGTTGCTATTCAGATGCATGTACCTAAGTTTTCTGGTGACGCTTGATCCAAAGAAAGCCTCCCTACTAAACATGACATTACTGCAAAGTGAAAAAGATGTCATTGTGAGTGGTTAATGTTCACTTATGAGAATCTACGTGGAATTAATTAAATGAGTATGGAAACAGGATTACTGGAGCGTCTGGTCCTTCAGCCCTGACCCAGTTTCTCTTCTCAGGAAGGAAGGCTAAAAATAATCACATTTTTACACTTACACCGCTGCTTGCTATATTGCTATCCTCCTTTCGCAACCCACACCTCATTGAACAAAGGAACACAGATTACATACACAAAATATTGGGAAGAGATGCAACGTTAAGAATAACTGGCGTTGTGACATTGGGTTGTGTTCAGCAGAGGCCTCCCATTACCTAAAGACTTCGGTTCCCATGAGGAACCTCCCCTACGTCTCCTTTCCCCATGTGCCCCAGCTCTGTCCTGGGGGTCAACACAACCCTCTCGAGCAGATTTTGGGGAGCAAGGGGAGAGCAGACTGAAGGGAGGGTTCACTGCCCAAGCAGAAGAGGTTTTGTCACGGTGTGCTTTTGGAGCAACTAGATACCTCCTGAGATATTTGAAATAACAAGCCATAGCAACGGTTCTGAACCGTGATCTCTCTCTTTCATCATCAGCACGGAAACATCATAACAGAGCACAGAAAGACAGGGTGAGCCTGCCCAATCGCCCTGAGCTGGATCATACCGATCCTTCTGGAATATGATCTCATAGAATCATAGAATTGTAGTGTTGGAAGAGACCATGAAATTCATCCACTCCAACCCCTTGCAATGAAGGAATATGCAACTGTCCCATATGGCGATGATTGCTCACATGTGGACAGCTCCATTGGTTAGATCATGGTGCTGATAATGCCAAGGTTGCAGGATCGATCCCTATACTGACTCCCTTCGAACTCCACAATTCTATGATTTGAGATACCTTCCCAGCTGAGAACTGGCTATGTGACTGCGCCAAGATGTATCCCCGTCACAGATCATCATGTTCTCATTCAAAACACTTTCTCATGCCATGACATAGCTGGTTGCTGCTTGGAGACTTGGGTTGGACCCAAGGAATTTCTTGCTCCTGTGGAAAGAATCTTCCTGCAACAGATGGACTCTTTCTATTGCTGCAAGGACACCTTTGGACCTAACCACATGCTGTTGATGCAGTAAATGGCTTTTTCTTCTTTTCTAAGAATCTATTATTTAACATTCTGCCAATGCATCTGCCAATACATCTGACATGAACTAAAGCAGATCATTGCGAATTGTCTCAGGTCCCATTTGAAAACAGGTTCATGTCAGACACCTAAAAACGAATGAAAAACAGCACACTAGGGGCTGGTTTTTGTACCCAATATGGGAATGGATGAATATGCAGTCATGGTACCATAACATTTAGGGCTGCTTACCATATAGGTCACCCTCACCTTGACCAGAAATGTGCACAGGTGACATGAACATTCCACATCCCATAAGGGCTAGTCCATTTGGTAAACGCTCTCATGCATTACAGCTGCTATGCTGTATCATGATCTAAGAATCAGTCCTTGATGCTGCTTATGAAAGTGGCCATAAATACATAATAATAAATAATAAAATTTTATGGGCCCAAAGCCGGGCTCAGAACGGCTAACAACAGTAAAATATACAACATTCTAAAATCATTTCATTATAAAATCAGCTCAAATCAGATTAATGGCAACCATTGGGCTAGAGTTCTGTGAGGATTGCCAAAGGAGGGGGTCAGGCTGTGCCTTGGCCAAAGGCCTGGTGGAACAGCTCTGTCTTGCAGGCCCTGTGGAAAGATGTCAAGTCCCACAGGGCCCTAGTCTCTTATGACAGAGCGTTCTACCAGATCGGGGCCATGGCCGAAAAAGCCCTGGCTCTGGTTGAGGCCAGCCTAACCTCCCTGTGGCCTGGGACCTTCAGGATGTTTTTGTTTGAAGACCGTAAGGTCCTCCGTGGGACATACCAGAAGAGGCGGTCCCACAGGTACGAGGGGCATCTGGAAAGAAATTCAGTAGGTCTAGCCCTGAGGTGCTAGTTTGCTATGTCTGGGGAGAATTTAAATGAGCGATTCCACCTAGAATCTGAAATCGTATTGCCCAGGAAGGTTGGAAGACAAATGTGGTACTATTGACATTGATACAAAGAAGTGGGAGCTGTAACAGAATATTGCAGTGTGGAGTGCATCTGTTCAGGGTTCTCCATTGTGTCCTCTGTGATGTGGTTTCCTATTACTCCACCCCAACAATATCACCTGGCCACTGAGCTTGCTCCATCCTGACTGGGCAGCTTTTCGGAGGGTCCTCACCTCACTATCCTGCTGAGGCTTCTCTCACACACCCCTCAATATTCATATTTACTTTACTCAAGATTCCTCTAAGCCCTCGTTCTCATGCACGAATGGCGCAGTTTTGCCAGCACTTGGAGAACTGAGATTGCAATTGGCGGCTTTGATTTGTTCTCTTTTGCTTATTAATTTTTCCCACTATGAACACGACAAACAACAATAAATCAATTATGCTGTTGTTCTTTTTGAGAGTTATTAGTACGCGCCAATTCATTAAAGCCTGCGCATGTAGCAAATTAAGACTGTTCTGCTATCAGATCAAAAGTACTGATGTCCCTTTTGCTTAAAATAATTACTGCAGCAACAGGTCAAATGCTAATCCACGATTATGTACCCAGACAGTCCGTTTTTTGTCATCTGGACAAACAAACAAACAGACTTAGACTACTCAAACCTACTTAGCCCATTACAAACCAGTTAAAAGTCACAATAGCGGGGCTGGATTTGCGTTCCTCCATTTGAACATACAACAAATGAATGCACGACCATAGGAAGCTGAAGATATTAATTACATACCTGGTCCCATCCACTGGCTCTTTCCTTTTGGAGAATTGAAAGCAATGGGAGAAAAGCAAGGAGGTAGCTGTTAAATTTAGCAGGAAATGCCAAGCATTAGCTTCAAGCCATGCAAAGGCATTTCTAAATGCTTTTGATCCTGCCACCTGACCCATAAGAATCTTACATGTGCTTCTCAGGGGACATATTGGTAAGCGATAACATTTCCTTATCACGGGGATGTGGAACCTCGTTCCTCTCCAGGTGATGTTGGACTCCAACTCCCATCAGCCCAAGCCAACATGCCGATGACCAGGGATTATGGGAGTTGTAGTTCAACCAAAGTCAGAGGTTTCCTCACATGTGCCCACACACCACATATTTCTCCACCCTCCTTCCCGGCGAACACAGTCACTTCCAGTCATGATCGCAGATCACAGTTCAAGGAGGCATTGCAGTCAGGCAAAAGCAGTCTGTGAAGGTGTGGCCTGGAAAGGGGCATGGCCTGGGAAGATTCCCAAGGGCCAGATAGGCCTCGAGGAGCCAGGAAGTTCCCCGCCCCCGGTATGCATACATTGCAGTGTACACAATCTTCTCTGTTTGCTCTCAACAAAGCTGCCCCTTTCGTAACGCTCTGGTCTCCTGTTCCATAACCACAAAACAGGCCGTGCTGATTGATCTGGGAGGATGTCTCAAAGCAGAAGACTTGCCTGAAATACGGGAATGACACGATTGATTCATAAAACCTCCAAGTGGCAACGAGGTCCAGCCTATTGGGATTAGTAGCATAGTACCTCCAGGCAGCCTGAAGGGACACAAGAGGAGCAACATGGTTAGGAGAAGAAGGGGAATGACCGGAGGTGCATGTTGTGCCTCCAAGCAAATGCAATGGGTGAAGAGGTGATTTGGGTGCAGGAAATAGGTAGGGAAGGAAGATGCGAATGGTTCCTCGCCCGGCCTCCTAAGGCTTGTCAGAATGGCCCCAACCCAGCCAAGCAGTCTGAGGTTTTAGGACTGTTTAGGGTCACTAATAATAATAATAATAATAATGATAATAATAATAATACATTTTATTTATACCCCACCCTCCCCAGCCAGAGCCAGGCTCAGGTCGGCTAACACCAATAAAATCACAGTAAAAACATAATGGGGGGGAGGGGAAGCAATTTAAAATACAGGTCAAAATGCAATTTAAAATGCAGCCTCATTTTAAAAGTAGCCAATAAATCGAGACCATAAGGGGAGGGAAACATAAGGATGAGACTGAGTCCAAACCAAAGGCCAGGTGGAACAGCTCTGTCTTGCAGGCCCTGCGGAAAGATGTCAAGCACCGCAGGGCCCTTGTCTCTTGTGACAGAGTGTTCCACCAAGTCGGGGCCAGTACTGAAAAGGCCCTGGCCCTAGTTGAGACCAATCTAACCACCTTGCGACCTGGGATCTCCAAAATGTTGTCATTTCTGGACCTTAAGGTCCTCCGTGGGGCATACAAGGAGAGGCAGTCCCATAGGTTGAAGAAATAAAGGGGGGGAAATTCCCTTTATTTCCCCCCCAAAAGCAGGTCAGGGAAACAGAACCAGGTCGAGGAACAGCAGGATAGTGGCGCTGCGCCTCCCTGCTGTCCCCCGAGCTTGTGGGGCTGGCTGATGTCTGCCTGGCGCGCGGGGCGCTCTGCTTCAGCGGGCCCCACCCGCCAGGCAGCAGGCTGCTATCCGCAGCGTGGGGAGCCCTGCGGGGAACTCCTGCAGGGCTCCCCACTCTGCGGATGTCTGCCTGGCACGAGGGGCGCTCTGCTTCAGCGGGCCCCACCCGCCGGGCGGCAGGCTGCTATCCGCAGTGTGGGGTGCCCTGCGGGGAACTCCTGCAAGGCTCCCCACGCTGCGGATGTCTGCCTGGTGCGAGGGGCGCTCTGCTTCAGGGCACCCCTCGCGCCGGGCAGCAGGCTGCTATCCGCAGCATGGGGAGCCCTGCAGGGAACTCCTGCAAGGGTCCCCACGCTGCGGATGTGTTCCCAAAGCGCCGGGCGCTCTGCTTTCAGGGCGCCCGACGCTCCGGGAAGCAGGCTGCTATCCGCAGCCTAGACACGGCTAGCGGAGCGCTGCATTAATCCCGAAGCTTGGGGCACGCTGTTCTCCGCATGCCCCAAGCTTCGGGATTAATGCAGCGCTCCGCTAGCCGTGGGAGAGCTGGGTCTCCCACGGCTAGCGGATAGCTTACTGAAGCCTGCATTCGCTCCATAGGATGCACACACATTTTCCCTTGCTTTTTAGGAGGGAAAAGTGCGTCCTATGGTGCGAAAAATACGGTATGTGGGTCCTAGGCCACACATAGGACAGAGGCACAGGGATCTGTCCAACTCTGTAGATCACAACGTATTATCATTCCATGAAATTCTGGTAAGAACATAGGAATATAGGGAGGTCTCCCTTGACCCATTTAGCTCACACTGGTTGGCAGAGGCTCTCTAGGGTTTCAGGCAGGGTGCATGCCACTGAACCCGAGAACTTGTGCATGCTAAGAAGATGCTCTACCACTGCAATCCTGCCCTTTCCACAAAAAAACCCAACCCATGACCACTAGGTTCCAAGAGGGGCACTGGTGAGCTTTGTCCCTGCCCCCTCCACCCCAAAAAATGCAAAAGAAGGAAGGCAACTCCTACCCTGCTTTTGCCCTCCAAATACCCCCTTCCCCAAATTTGCCCAAAAGTTCTCATTGGAGAACTTTCAGTTCAGACAGTGATCTTTTCTTCTCGTTAAAGCTGGAAGGGTTTCATAAAGAAATATGTGAAAGGCCAATCCCTCCTCTGTGGCTTCTCTGCCACGAGACCTGGAAGAGGGCAGTTTTCAAAGAGCTGCGAACTGTGTGTGTTTCAAAGAGGGTACGATGAATCCCAACCTGTATGAGTTCCGCTGCAGGCTTTCTTCTTTTCTCAAAATGTTTCTGGCGGTGTTGCTCCTGCACTTTCAGAGCGAGTCCTGAACCCAAAATGCCCTGAAAGCAAAGTTGGGCAAATCATCATCATCATCGTCATCATCCTGTTGAAAATGGAAATGTCAGACCGAGGGCAAAACGGGAGACAGCTTCTCCCTGGGGTTCGAAAATGGTGGGGAAGTTGGAACCAAGATTGTCCTGGGCAGTGAGAGGTGATGGAGTTAAGGGCAGTGTCTCAAAGCTTAAGCCTTTGTTATAACAACAACAACAAAACAACAACAACAACAACAACAACTTTTTATTTATACCCCGCCCTCCCCAGCCAAGGCCGGGCTCAGGGAAGCTAACAAGCAATAATAAAAATAAGTTGAATGAATACAATTTAAAAACAAAATTAAAATACAACATTAAAATATTGAAACATTAAAATATTAAAATGTAGCCTCATCGCAGGAGGAGAAAGGAAAAGAAAAAAGAAAGAGGGGAAGGGAATCAAATTGGCTCCAAGCCAAAGGCCAGGCAGAACAACTTTGTCTTACAGGCCCTGCGGAAAGAAATCAGATCCCACAGGGCCCTGGTCTCATGAGGCAGAGCGTTCCACCAGGCCGGAGCCAGAGTTGAAAAGGCCCTGGCTCTGGTTGAAGCCAATCTAACTTCCTTAGGGCCCGGGACCACTAGGGTGTTGCTATTTATGGACCTGCCCCCTCCACCCCCAAAAATGCAAAAGACCTGTTGAGGTGCTCCTCCCTAGTGGTGGCTGGTGTGTGGGGTGGAAGGCAGAGGAGCCCCCATTGGTGGAACTAGAGCCTCTTCTGAGGAAGGGAGAGGATGAGGTGGATATCTGCATTGGGTGGGTTTTTTTTGTGGGATGGGGGCTTTGATTGGAACACTTGAAATAGCTAGCCTCCTCTAAGGGTCACCAGGAGCGACGTCACCCGCCCCATTCCCAACCTGTTCCCCCACGCCTTCTCTCACAAGTCCACCGGCAGAACTTACAGCTGGAAGAGCAAAGAAGGAAACTCCAACGAGAGAGAATGTTGCTGCTATGAGGCGTCCCTCCCATGTTTTGGGCGTCTTGTCGCCATAGCCGATGGTTGCTAGCGTAATCTGTGGGGAGAAGGTTTGGGACAGTCTGTAAGAAAGACAAATGGGCAAGGACAATGATTTCTTGCACTTTCCACCTCCGTAATGCCACTCCTCAGTCCCATACACACCCTGTGTTTAAGGCCATATCATTTAAACAGGCATGGCTCTTTCTCCCCGCCCCCCTAGCAAAGAATCCTGGGAACTGTAGTTTGTTAAGATGCCAAGAGTTGTTCCGAGACCCCTGTTTCCCCTCTACAGTTCTCAGAGTTCCCTGTGATGAAAGATTGAATGTTAAACCACTCTAGGAACTGTGACTCTGGTAGGGGTCTCCTAACAAACCTCAGAACCCTTTGTGAGGACCTCGTCCTACACTCCTGGCAGAAACACATGCCCGACTGGCATGTCCTCTCCCTCCTGGTCAATCGTTCAGGAGCTTCAAAAGCTTTCTTCAGCCCGAACATCACAGAGACCGATGCCAACAGACATCGGCACACTTAGGGATCCACAGAGTCTTTGCAGCTTGCGTGACAGACCTCAGCAACTCAGCATTTTGGCTAATCTACTTTATTTACATATAAACGCACACGGAGCACTGCAACATGGCTCCCTCTCTCTCTAGCATCAGACTGCAAAGAGAAAAAGAACAAAGGACAATAGTCCCCCTTCACGGAACACAGTAATACAAACATCCTGTTTCCGTCACTTCCCACTCTGTGCAGTCAAAACATACACCGTCATGTGAAAGGCAACAATCCCATGACTGCAATCACGGAGCAGGAATTCTAACACCCTTAACTACAGTTCCCAGAATCCTTTGGGAGAATCTGCAACTATTTAAAGTGGTATGATGCTGCTTTAAATGTTGTGTGGATGGGGCCTCCATTGCTGCATCTTTTCAAGTTGGAATTGGCTTTACTTGACGGCCTCCACCATTTCCCCCATGTTGTGCAATAACATTTTCAATGAACCTGGAAGGTGTTTCAGGAAACACTTTTTGGTTCTTTTAAGGTACAGGTGGGCAACCTGTGGCCACAAGTAGCCCCAACCTCATTTTATGTATCTCCCCATCTCTGGTTTTCATTCCACCCAATGTCAGCATGCGGCCCCCGACAGGTTACTCCAAGGGGATCTGGCCCTCAGCAAGTTAGAGGTTTCCCAGCCCTGTTTGAAGAGACTGGAATTTGATGCAGCAAGCTTCCATCATCCTCCCTTCCTTTTCACAATGCAACCCAAGCTGAATAACGGCTAGCATTAAAATGCTAAAGGACCCCAGAACATTCAGATGAACCACCCCAAAGCAACCTCAGCCAGCATAACCCCTGTGGATACTGACCAGTCCCCACCAAAGGGCATCGGCATAGGTTTCAAACTCCCTTTTTTCCTTCCCTTCCTCGTTTTTTTCAGGCACATCTTTCTCCACCAGGTAAACCAGGAATGAGGAGAGGATAAGGGTCAGGAACCCGATGTACCAGGCAGTGATGAGTTCCTAAGAGGGAAAGGCACTGCTGTAAGACAGAAAGCAAAGTTCCTGACTGGGCCAGGTCTTGGCCTCAGACCATGATGTTCCTAGTTCAGAAGACCCAATAGTTATTGCTCACCAGGGCGAGATGGTTTGAGCATATAATAGGGTTGCCGTATGTCTGGAATTTCCCAGACATATCCGGAATACTGCAGCCACAAGCAGTTTCTGGGCAGAAATCGGCGAAATGTCAGGGAAAATCTGGACGTATGGCAGCCCATGTAGGCAGTGTCGTTTTTGCCGATTTCCCTCAGAAATACCTCCCAAAAATGTCAATTTTTGCAGGGGGGAAAACAATTTTTCTGTCCAGATTTTCACTTTTTGAAATATGTCAGCCCTGGCGTATAACACCAATTATTGCCTGTGTCAGGGTGATATGTGGGTGGTTGCCAAGATAACAGCCCGGGATTCCAGCGTGTCTTTACAAGATTTATTAAGTCCAAAACTATGTACAGTACGGAGCTCTTGAAAGCATGTCTGCCTCAGTCGCTATCAGTTGCCGGAAGTGGCTCATGCCTGTTCCCCCTCCAGCAGAGAAACTTCCTGAGACCCCCCCCCCTTTTCCTCCTCTCCTTACGTGAAAACCTAAGCACCGGAGACTGCTCCTTTCTCTCTACTATAGCAGCCTTTGGATCTCCCTCCCTCTCATTTCCCGTGTTTCCTGACAGTCCCTCCTCCTCTCCCTCTGACGAAGTGCAGCTGCTCATCAAAGGAGGCGGCTCTCTGTACATTCCGGTCTCTCCCCCCTTCTCTGCCAACTGGTCCCTGACAGCCTGGCTGCCAATTAGTTTCTGGGCCCAATTTGAAGTGCTGGTTTTGACCAAAACAGCCTTCAATGCCTCAGGACCGCAATACTTCAAAGACCACCTCTCCCCATATAAACTGACCCAGACCCTGCCTTCATACTCTGAGGCCCTTCTTGTTCCAGCCCCACAGTGCTTTCTTACTTTGCTGTGTGCACAAATGGCGGAGCCCAAGAGCTTCCAGGTTCCTCCTCTTCTGTCCATCCGCAACATTCGCAGGATCTGAAGGAAACGGAGGCTTCTCAGCGACGTGGCCAGGACGTTGCCCTGGTTGCCAACAGCCACTACTGGCACAGAGGCGATCAGTACAAAGATATCTGTGGGGGGGGGGGAAATTAAAGTAAGATCTTGCTCAGATAAGGAAGAAAACCTGCCTTGTCTCCTAAAAAAGAGAGATGGGAGGGTTTGAGCAGTTTACAAGAACCTCAAGTAGAGACAGGTACCAGAATTGGTAGATATTGAAAGCCTTGGGAGTGAGGAATTGCCTTTCGTGGTTTGTTTGACCCAGTCCCCAACCCTGCTGGACCCTTCAAAGCAATAGAGAACCACAAAGGAAAGCAATGGAAAGGCTTGTGGTTAAAAAAAAAAGGCAAAGAACCCCTGGATGGTTAAGTCCATTCAAAGGCAACTATGGGGTTGCGGTGCTCATCTCGCTTTCAGGCCGAGGGAGCCGGCATTTGTCCATAGACAGCTTTCCAGGTCATGTGGCCTAAACTGCTAAACCGCTTCTGGTTCAATGGGACACACCATGACGGAAACCAGAGCGCGTGGAAATACCATTTACCTTCCTACCACAGTGATACCTATTTATCTACTTGCACTGGAGTGCTTTCGAACTGCTAGATCAGCAGGAGCTGGGACAGAGTAATGGGAGCTCACCCTGTCGCCGGGATTCAAACCACTGACCTTCTGATCAGCAGGCCCAAGGGGTTCAGTGGTTTAGATCACACCGCCACCTGTGTCCCCTGGAAAGGCTTGTACTTACCCAACATACACAAAGGTTTCCTGGCAAACTTCAACCTCCCTCGCCATCCTTTGTACCGACAGCAGCAGCCAGCAGCCCAGATCCTTAAGGCAAACTCTGCTCCAAAGATGAAAATGGCAAAGGTTTCCTACGCAGAATGGGAAACAAGTAACCAAACAACGTATATTACCAAATACACACATCGCAGGGTCACAAAAAGTCATAGCTTCTAAAAGAAATCATTGGAAGGAGAAATTTGCTGAGACCAAGTAAGGTCAGGTAGGGATGGGGGAACCTTGGGCTGGGTGGGGGGCAAAGGTGTCCCCCTATCTGGCCCGTAGGACTTTCTCTAGGCCATACAACATTCCAAGTCACAACACTCATGACCCCTGCTGTGCATCCTCTAGAACAGCCTTTCTCAACCTGTGGGTCCCCAGATGTTGTTGAACTACAACTCCCATCACTGCTAGCTAGCAAGGCCATAGCTCAGGGACAATGGCAGTTGTAGTCCAACAACATCTGCGGACCCACAGGTTGAGAACCGCTGCTCTAGAATGATGGTTCTCAAACTTTTATTCTCTGGGCCACACTTTCAGAATAAAAATTTGTTTGCGCCACACTGAATTTTTTTATTGGAAAACAAGAAGAAGCAATTCCTAGCAGTGCTTGATGTATGACATGGAACTGCTACTTTATAATATGGTTGTGGGACATCTAGCAAGTATAAACAATGGAGCTACGTAATAACATTAATCGTTCCCATAATAAATGAGCCTCTTACATGTGTACCTTAAGTATGCATACAGACTCTGTGAGAGGTGTGAGTTCACTTTTGCCATGTAATCTCATTTATATTAGGTCCATTTTGGGAGAAACTCCTATCTCCTCATCAACACAAATAAACCTTTCTCTTTTCTGATCTTTCATGGTTGTCAGAGTTGAAAATCCCTGTTCCCAACAATATGTCGTGGAGAACTGCAGAGGAATGGCCAGTGCTCTTGAAGAGAGGTGTGAACACTGCTTTTGATTAGTTGATCAATCGATAGATGAGAGATAGAGAGATGAGAGATGATAGATAGATATAAATAAATAGATAAATCGATATCAATCGAGCTATGAACACTGCTTTTGATTAGTTGATCAATCAATAGATGAGAGATAGATATAGCTGATAGATAAGTGATTGATGATAGATAGATGATAGATAGATGATAGATAGATGATAGATAGATAGATAGATAGATAGATAGATAGATAGATAGATGATAGATAGATGATAGATAGATAGATAGATAGATAGATAGATAGATAGATAGATGATAGATAGATAGATAGATGATAGATAGATAGATAGATGATAGATGATAGATAGATAGATAGATACATGATAGATAGATAGATAGATGATAGATAGATAGATAGATAGATAGATAGATAGATAGATAGATAGATTAGATAGATAGATAGATAGATAGATAGATAGATAGATAGATAGATGATAGATAGATAGATGATAGATAGATAGATACATGATAGATAGATAGATAGATGATAGATAGATAGATAGATAGATAGATAGATAGATAGATAGATAGATGATAGATAGATAGATAGATAGATAGATAGATAGATAGATAGATGATAGATAGATATTGATACTACACTTCACTGAAATGATTAAATGTTTCTATTATTGCCCTTGAATCTTCCTGCCACACTTGCCACCCTCTCCTTCCTTGGAGGTCTTTAAGCAGAGGTTAGATGGCCATCTGTCATGGAAGCTTTAGCTGAGTTTCCTGCATTGCGGGGCCTTGGACTCAATGACCCTTGAGGTCCCTTCCACCTTTACAATCCTATGATTTTCCTGCCTCACCTGTGTGGTGTGCCACACCTTTGAGAACCCATGAAACCTATGTCATTTTATTCATTCATTCATACCCCACCTATTTCGCTGATGGGACTCAAGGCGGCTGACTTGTTAACCTATAAGGTGCCACCCAGGAGAGGCTTGCAGAGCCAGGAGACATTGTTCACTCGGCTTCCCAACAGGGATGTTGCTGCCTGTAACTGAGAGGAGGAAAGGCAAGGCAGCAGAAAGGTTAGCATGATGTGGGTGCAGTGTTGGAACCATCAGGTTGGCTTCAATGCTGGAACGACACTGCCCTTCCACTGCCTTGCCCCTTCTGCTCTATCTCTCTGTTCCTGACAGCCACGCCCACATTGGGAAGCCAGGTGAGCAACGATGGCCACCCTCCAGTAGCTGCTGGCACCATCTGCACCAATAGTAGAATAAGTCAGTATCCTCTCCCTTACCACCATCCCAGGTAAGCACCTGAACTTACCAACAGCAGAAGCCAGTTTCCTGAAACAGTTTCGTATTCCTTGAATGTTGTCAGAACAGCTAAAATCAAGCAACCCAGGACTATCAGAAACCTAGAAGATGAGATATAGATTTTTAAAAAAAGGGAAACGGAACGTTAGGAGATGTTCGTTCAGTGTGTAGTTCTCTAGAAGGCTCTTGTTCCAAGAATGTAGGGTGCCTTTGATTTGGGATGCAAAGGCAATTAAAGGGATTGGCCTGCCTGCAAAACAAGTGGGCATTCACTGCCCAAGAGATTCTCACAAGCCAGGCACTCAATTCTTTCTCCAAGGAAATGGGTCACTTCACAGAGGGCAGTAGCCCTGGGAAGAGACTTCCCTGTTGATCTTAACACCCAGGCAGGTCAATGTGAGAGTTCGCACAGGAAGATGATGTACAGATGGTACACGACACCAGTGCAGTTAGGGAAAATGTACAAAACTAGTTCGAATATATGTTGGAAGTGTAAGGAAAAGGAGGGGACATTTTATCATATGTGGTGGGATTGTAAGGTAATTAAAAAAGTTGGGGAAATGATATGCAACGAATTGAAGAAAATCTTCCGTTTAACATTTGTTAAAAAACCTGAAGCATTTTTGTTAGGGATTGTAGGGAAAGATCTGCCAAAAAAGCTGAAAAACATCTTTATGTATGTGACGACGACCGTGAGAGTTTTAATAGCACAAGGATGGAAGACTGAAGAAACCCCAACTAAAAAATCATGGCAAGAAAAATTAATGGACTATGTAGAACTGGCAAAACTGACATACAAGCTACGGGACAAGGATAACTGTGACTTTAAAGATGAATGGGAACCCTTTACAAAAATGGGGGGAAATAAGGATGATATGTTTCTGGATAATTTGTTTTAATTTTGAATTTAAAACGTTTTTTAAAAAACAACAATGTGAGAGTTCACACTCCTTCGGCTATAGATCTGAAATTTTGATCTGGCACTATAGAATTGTGCCAGTATAGAACACCAATGTCATTTCAAAACATCCCTCATTATGCCATACTTTCTTCATGCATGGGCTCTAGTGGTCAGTAACAGCCGTTTGAGTGTTCACCCATAGATTTGTATATCTATGGAAAAAGAGAATGAGCTTGTAGGAAAAGGGGGGTGCAAGAGAGAGAGATTTGTGAATCTTTAGACTTCCTCCTTCTCCAGTCCACACAAGGAAAAGAGGGAGTGCTGTGCTTTGTCCACAGGGAGGCAGCAAATGTCTATGCACTAAAGGAACAAAGTGATTGTCCAGCTCTGTCTGCCTTGGCCAAGAAAAAAAATATAAGATAAGTGGGGGGGGGAGTATCAAATCCAAAGAATGCTTTTTAAAAAGTAACTTTCAGCTAAACCTGCTGATCTCCCATTTCTGCTGGTCAATATTTTAAATCGAGAACCATAATTGTTTTAAATCCAATTAATAAAGGTATTAAAAATATATTTCTTCTGGCTTAGCCAATCCACAGAGCTTTCCCAACTAAACCAAAGCAAGAGTAACGAAATTGCTAAACATAAAAAAATGAAAAAAATAGAAGAGGGAAGGAAATATTGCAAGAAAGACTAATAGGAGAATTATTAGTTAATGATAATTAAGAGTAGTAGGAAAATTAAGAAATGCAGAATAAGTGATAAAGAACAAAAAAATCATCAGAAGTGTTGACGGAAGTCTAAAACATTGTATAAGATAAGAAGTTATGTTATATGATTGTTGGAAATGACATGTTAAAAACCAATAAAAATGTATATATATATATATATAAAAGAGAACCATAATTGTTTTGACCTCCTTATGATCCATCTACATGTTATGACTGTTGGTTGTGGAGCCACGATCACCCCACCTTAATGTGGCTGATACATGGGGGGGTGTTGGAAATTTGGGGTGCAACACACGAGCACACTGCCCATTCTGAAGCTCCTTGTGGTTGCTGTTGGATGAGCACAATTTTTCCATCAGGAACTACTTCCAAAATGACATTACATCATCATTGCTCCTGAGAGCTGTTGTTGTTGTTCATATGCAACCCTTCTTTTTCAGCAGAGGGAGTTCTGACCTCAAGAAGGAACTTCAGAGGCAGTTAATCTTCCCCACCCCAATCCCTGAATTTTGCTGGGAGTATTGGCCCTCCCATCAAAAATTCAAGCCAAAATCTTTTGGCTCAGGATGAAAGAACCTCTGTACATCAGTCATAACATATATAGCCGGCCATTATATGGATTGCCACTATTGCTTGGTGAGTTTCCAGAAGTGCTGCTAATTGATCAGGCAAAATACAGCAATCCAACTCTGGCCCTGTAGTTACCTGTGGGCCAATTTCCCAATTTTTCTGTCTGGGTAAAACCCAGGAATTTGACTATGTGGGCAGACTTTGAGGATGCAAAAAGTCAGTAGCATCATATTGCACTCTATGGGTGTCATGGCGCCAACTGCCAGCAGCTCAGACACAGAGAGTGGGGGATTAGTGGAGCGGACTGAGGAGACAATCCTTGAGTCTGCAATAACCCATGACTGCAGTCCTCATCCTTAGTCACACTGGAGGACTGTCATTTTCACTCAACAGACCCACGCCTCACAGATCCCGTTTGCTGAACCAGGAAAATATGGTGGGTGAGAAAATATGAAGAGGCCACAGAGTGCTGGGCTGACTCTTTAAGGCTTTGCAGTCCTCAACAAGTGGGTGGAGCTAGAGTCAAGTCCAGAAAGTATGAAAGGGCTCAGCTGGGACTGAGCTTTCATTGGAACAACGTCTTTACTTGCTGAGCCCTGTCCATGGTTCTGAAAAGCCTGTCTCAAGCTGCTTTTGTTTAATAATAATAATAATAATAAAATTATTTATATCCTGCCCTCCCTGGCCAATGCCAGGCTCAGAGTGGCTAACATACAAGTAAGACAATACATAAAAACAAGTGATTAATAAATTAAGATACATCCCACAATTAATTCAAACAAATTAAAATTAAAACTGGACAAGTGGCAATCTTCAGGTTAAAATTGAAGGCAGTTACCAACTGTTTCCACTGATATTATAAGCACCTTTGAGCAGGCTGGGAACCTCCTTCGTGCTTTTTCGTGTACAAGGAGAAAATGAGTCAGACTGAACCCTGACCAAAGGCTTGGCAGAACTAATGGGAGGTAAGGTCTGAAACTCAAACACCACCTGCTGGTTTCCTGCTCATCTTTCCCTCCATCCCGAACTGCTTGCTGGACCCGCATCATCTCAACCTGTCCACAGGCTCCACCTTGTGAGAACCGAGCAATGAGCATGCTTAGATTACGTACCTGTTATGTACCGAGTTGAATAGGATCCAAATTGCAGCAATCTGATTGGTCCTAGAACAATAGGATCCAGAATGCAGCAGTCTGATTGGTCCTAGAACAATAGGATCCAGAATGCAGCAGTCTGATTGGTCCGCAGGAGCCACCCAATCCCACTCCAGGTGGAAGTGAATCCGCAACCTGATTGGCCTACTGGAGAATCCCAGTATTAGCCAATCACGTGGCACCCATTGTGTAAATAATTTATATAAAGCAGACAGTCCGGGGAAACTTCCATTCCTCACTACTATGAGCTGAATAAGGAGCATGAAATCCACACTCGACTCCCAAGTATTTTTCAGTACCCATCACATGCAAGCTAGAGTGCCAAATTGTTGAGACAAGTGGCAGCATGTCATTTCCAGCTTGCTCCCTAGAATCACAGAACTCTAGATTTGGAAGTGCCTTAAAGGATCTCTTAGTCCTACGCTCTGCAATGCAGGCGAGACTGTCAGACTGGTTCCTTCACAGATGATCTCCACAAGTTCTGTTAATCTGAAGGAAGGGTGTGTGGGCCACACAACAGCACTGGTGAAGTGGTCGGTGTGGCAATGTGGAGTCTGCCCTCCCACCTTCACATAGCCTTGCTTCCTTCTCACTGCCACAAGCTCTTCTCACTGACCACACCCAACTACGAGAACTTTAGAAGTTGGTGATGGTATTTCTATACCATGATCAAGAGCAAAGAAACTTCTCATACAATCACAACGATCACCAAGATTCTTTGCAGATTTTAGCTTCTCCCCACTTTACCATCATGTGGGAGCGCTATGCTTTGCATTAGTCTCTTCCCATCCTCATGTCATTTTTAATTTGTACACCATCTTTCTATGTTAAACCGCACTCAGGGCAGTTTACAACCCATTGGAATGACAAGATGCAGGGGGGGAAAAGCCACACAGCCATCTGTCCTGTTCTGGCCCTGCAGGGAGCAAGGAAGTCTGGTTGTATCAGTACCATGGACAGCTCTTAGCGAACAACCAGTAATCTATCCAATGGCGATTACACTGTCAATCACAAAGCAGCAGGACACAACCCAAGAGAAAACTGAAACATATCAACTTTCAGAACTGCAAATTATCAAAACCTAAAATGATGTAGTTACCACAAATCATTAGGGTTTTTTAAAAAAACAACAACACCAAAACAAAACAAAACCCCTTGTCAGTTGACACTATTGAGTCAAAAAAGTAGTCTGTAACTTTCTATTTGCTAGAGCATAAAAAACTGCCCAATAGATAACAAACTTCTCTCCATCAGATAATTTTGAAATCATGTGAATTACCTTCTTAAAAAGAAAAAGAAACTTTGTAAAGTAAATAGGAATATATCCCAAGGGAAATGAAGAGTGATAAAGAGAACATTACATTGCACAATGCCTTCAGACTGGTCTGATCCACAAAAGACAAGAAAGTGGTCATTAGTTGGCCTGTTAAATATTTTACTGGTCAGATATGGGATAGTTTGAAACGTGAGCTGAGTAAAAGAAAGAAATGTAGTAGATGATAGATATAGATATAGATATAGATATAGATGATATCGATACAGATGATATAGATAGATATAGAGATAGAGATAGAGATGATAGATAGATAGATAGATAGATAGATAGATAGATGATAGATGATAGATAGATAGATAGATAGATAGATAGATAGATAGATGATAGATAGATGATAGATAGATAGATAGATTAGATAGATAGATAGATAGATAGATAGATAGAGATGATAGATAGATAGATAGATAGATGA